TATGTTTTTTAGTCTTTCATAAAAAGAGTTTAACTTTGATTAAACAGAGTAAAGTTTGATTAATAAAAATATTTTGAAAACTCACTTGACAAAGTCAAGGTTTTTATTGAAAGTGGTTTAAGTTTAAGAAAATATGAAGGATTTTGAAAAGAGGAGAAGATTTGAAAATTGAAGAAGATGGGCAAGAGATAAATGGACTATTCTAAAGCATAAAGTAAACAAGAAGCAAACTCTTGACATTAATTCAACATATGCATCCATTCCCTTTGGATTAAGCCACACAAAAGCAAGTGATAAGTATCAGACGAATAATAGTGCCTCAGGTACAAGCTTAAGATCTCAGTATTAGATGAATCATAAAAGAGTGCAAATGAATTTTTCAGTGTTAGATAAAACTTGATGTCTCAGATGAATGTTCTTGCATTAGATGAGTTTTAAAGTAACAACACCTGCACAAAAAAAAGTTCCCAAATAAATAGACAAAAGCACGACTAAAGTCTCAGATGAATTAAGATCACAAAGTCCAAGTCAAGGTTCTATCCTAAGTCCAAAGGTCCAAACTCCATAATGCAAAGGATAGTAACCATAGTTCAAGAACCATTAAATTTTTTAATGTTCAAGTTCTTTATTATTGTCTTTTAATAAAGAAGAAAAATTCTCAAGGAGCAAAAGAAAAATGACAGAAAATAAAGTGCTCAAGGAGAAAAATAAAAATGGCATAAAAATAAAGGCAGGAAAGTAAAAAATGACAAGAATAATATAGATACTAAAAGTAAAGACCATAAACTAAATTCCTGAAAATTTAAATGATGGAAAAGTAAAGGTGCAGAAAATTAAATGTTAGTACAATTAATAGTTAGTGTTAGTAATTAGTTTTCCGAGCCGGGACAATTTAATATTATGTTAAGCAATTGCAAGTGAACTTATATAGAAGTTGCACCTATCTGAGGTCAAACCAAAATAATGTAGAACTATTGAATATAATGCACACCATGGATTAAAAGCAAAGGTGATCAAGACTAAGTAAAAGATATGAAATCATTACATCAATCAAATCTTTCATGATACCTTAAGATAAACTTATCATTAATCCAAATTACCTTGAATGATTAATTGATCACTTAGAATTAGATTTGAAATGATGAAATTTCATCAAGTACCAATCCAAATTCAATTGAACAAGAAGAATAATCAATCATCCAATTGATCAAAAAGAAAAAAAGAAGAAGAAAGAAATTGAGAAGAGATCATTGAACAAGAAAGTAAATCCCAAATTGGATCAAAGTATTGATCAAGTTATCATCAACATCATTAATCCATTTTGGTGGATCGGAGTTTTCACCTCATCAATTCCCAAGATCCAATGAGGTTGATGAAACTCATGATCAAATTCACTATGGTCCAAGATCAACCAGTCAACAAAGTCAAATAACAATTAAAATACAATGAAACAATTAAAACGCATGTTAAAAATATTTTTAAATTGATTTTTAAATGAAAATAAAAGGTAAAATGTCAAAGTCTAATTAAATCATCAAATAATATTCAAGTAAGACATAAAAAAAATCAGAAATGATATATAGTATTTTTATAAATTTTTTGATAACTTTTAGAAATAGAAAACTATTTTAAAACTAATTAAAATCAAGCAAACAAATGAAAAATTATAAAAAATAGAAACACAAAAATAAAATTCCGAAAAAAATACATAAAATCAGAAGTAATAAAAAAAAATTTGTGAATTTTTTCAATATTTTTGGAATTAAAATGAAGGAGTTATGAATTTTTAAAGTTTAAAATAATTTAAAACAAAATATAAAAAGAAAATAACTCTGAAAAATATAGAGGCATCATATCCTTTTCATTAATCAAACGTGGTATATCTAAGGATCAAAACACGCGTGCTCATGGTGGAGTTGAGTCAATGAACACAAAAGGAATCAGGAAAAGTCAAGTCAATAGAAACATTTCATTTGTCTTGCTATATTGGTCGGATGATCCACGTAATCATCTTTAAACTCCAGCCCCAAAAAATTGTTCAAAATCAGTCTAAAATCGTAAATCACAAAATAGAAACAAGAGAGGATGAGACTTATATCAATAAATTTGTCTCTTCATCACCATCTCAACCATAATAACCATTGAAATTTATTCAAACTGAGCTAACCACAATTTAAAGAAAACCAGAAGATGTTTGAAAATGAGTTTTGAAATTAAATTCTCAAATCAAAATGAAAATGAAATCTAAAAGAAGCATGAGCTTCATAAGATCAAATACTACATCGTACCAACTTGTTTGAAGCAATTTGGTGCTGGAATCTACCTGAACGAAGTAAGATGTAAAGCTTCTAAAACTAGACTTGGATGGAGAGTTGTAGTGCATCTTAAGGCTTCGTTTCGATTGTATTAGTTTAGAGAAGATCAGAGAAGGTATTTGAATTAAAAACCTGGACCTGAAAGCTTGGGAAATATGAAAATGAAGTGAGATAATTTGGAGGTTTATAGTGGGTTTGGAAGAGTATTTCTCACTCTCAAAGCTTGTGAAATGAAAGGAATAAGGTATCTATTTATAAGAGAGTATTATGGAATGATGAGAGGGGTGAAATGATCAAAGTTTGATTGAAATCGTGTGCACCCTTGAAGCATGAAGAAAGTGTGACTTACAACCATCAAAACTCAGCCTAAACCTGCATTTTTTGACCCATTTAGCATCAGGGAACTTGGTAAATATGATTAGAGTGAAAAACACGTGGTAAATGGGCTTGTAATTGAGAATTAAGGAACTTCAAATTTTGATCATGGTGAAATTTTCAGTTCTAAGTAGCCATATTTGAATCAATGGGGCATCTTGTACAAGAGGCTTTTTGATTCTGGTCTTTTTGCAATTTGTAGACATCATCATAAAGACCACAATGTGCCAAGAAATGTTGCATTTGGATTCTTATGGAATAATTTATGTCATTTTGAAATTGGCAAAAACTTTTGATGGTGCAAACCTGAAAAATTCCAAGTCCCAATGACGTATAATGACCTGTAATGTAACAATGAATTCCATGACCTTCCAAGAATAATTAGAACTTGACATTTGAATAGAACTTGTAGAGCTATCAAGGAGATAATTATTCAAAAATAATGAGCCTCAAATGATGAAAATTGAAGAAGTTATGATACTTTAAAGTTGGACAAAATTCACTTGTAATTAGGGCAAAATTTTCTAAGTCCACAAGATGACTTATAATGTATCCAAAATTTTGATGATCTTCTAAATATAATTGGTTCTTGACTTGTATATAGAAGTTTGAGAGGATGTAAAGGAGAGTCATATGCTCAAAGAATAACTAAAAATATTGAAAAATGAGTTAGTTGTGGTCTTTTGAACTTGAACTTGGAAAATATTTGCTTTTTGGTCAAACCCATTATGAATCAACTTACATACTTAATATTTTCTTGCAATTCAAAGTATGATGATGCACAAATGAACTTATAATAATGAATCCTTCATTGATATTTGATTAAACATGGCCATACTTGAGGTTGCTTGATGATGAAGGCATGGAAATAAACACACGAACCTTTGATTTATCTTGAGAAATAAACAATCAATCTTGGAGAACTCTTGATCAATTGAGATTGAATGATTTTTGAAGATGATATGAACTAAGATTATAGGTCAATCCTTGGTTCACAAGCCCTTGAGAATCAATATTGTCCATACTTTGACTTTGGTCAGATGAAATCCTAGTTGAGGGGACTTGTTTGATCCACTTGGTTCACACATGTCCTGACAAAATAAACAAAGAAAAACAAGACATTTTTTATTTTATTTTGATTAGTAGTTGGTGAGCATAAAGCATATAAGAAAATGTACAAGATACACAATAGGGTGCTTGATGATCTCTCAAAGGCAAGTTTAAAGAAGGAAGAGGGAGCAAAGGTTGAGAGGCAACCCAAGATTGTGATCTTAATGTGATGCAAATATGCAAAATGATAAGGGATCTTAGAAATAAAAGTTAAGATATAACATATATCGTTTTTAAGAAAAACTCTTCCCTCTAAATCTATAGATCAAGTCAACTCCAAGTCAATTGGAATCTTCCCTAAATCAACATTGTACTTTTTTATTTAGGCGATGGTGGCGTGGCTTCACAACAAAAATGGATGTGGCATGGATGATCCATCTCTCCTCTGTTGTTTTCCGTTGCATTAACATATGATTATAATATTTAATCTATATTTTAGTCATATCCTATGTAATTACTTAAATTTGAATAAAAAAAGTTCTTCTTAAATCTTAATCATTATTAATGGGAGGAATTAGGAGTAATGTATAGGAATTTTCGGTGGTATATGTTTTTCTTCAATAGTATATAGATTATAGACAATCATGGTTAAACTGTGGTGTTTGACCTTATATAAGATATGCTTCCTCTAATTAAAAATGTTTTAATCAAAAAAAATAATATAAACTATTTTTTTCTTCTTAAATATATTTTGTCCCTTGTTTTGCGGTTATCAAAATGGATGAGAAACACATATTAAAATTTCTAAATTAAAAGTTCTTAAGGAATTGTCAGCCAACAGAAAAAGCTTCCCAAAAAAAGAAGAGATAAATTTCTTGCTTCAATGGCTAACTATTGTTAGGGAAAATGTCGACTAACTTTTACTTTTCCATTTTCCATTATTGATCTTCTTTCATCACCTAGAACACCACTTCATTACATTTTCATATTACACCTTTATTTCTAACTTCAATCCATAGCCACAATTTTTAAATGTTTCTCCCATGGGGATATTCAACAAAAATGTTAATCCCTTTTGATTATTACTATGATCATTATAATTACTTTTTTGAATATGGCTACGGCTAATTAACGTACCCTCCATTAGAATATTTCATATTAAAAGGTTGTCACATGTGATGAATGCATGAAAAACATGCAACCACTACATTAAAAAAACATTATAGTTTATTCATTGTATCTACATTCATAGAATCAAAGATGGGTTTGAATTCAAGGGACATTAAACTTCATGTATTCAAAGTTCTTCATCTTTCAATTGAAAAAAGCTATGATTTTATGAAAAAGCATCCAAGAATTTCAGGTGCTATGTTAGTTTTCTTCATCATGTATATATTTCTTTCTTGTATATACAATTTGTTGGTTTTCTTGTCTCCATTTCTCGTGTTTACCGCAATTTTGGTTACACTCTTTTGGAGTTCGGAGCAAACACATATCAAATGTGTTGAGAAAAAAGAAAAGGAAAAAAAGGTTGATGCAAAAAATCTATCTAATGTTTACACGAAAGATAGACGCGGAATGCTTTATAAGTATCCATCACAAAATGCAACGAGTAGAAGAAGAAATTTTACGGGAAAGAAATTGGATGTGTATGGTGATTTAGAACAAAAAGCTAAGAATTTATCAGCAGTGTTTCGAAACGAATTCACTAAAAAGAACACAGATATTAGATCAGGAAAAATATTTTTCGACAAAGAGATGGACCCTTATTTCGATTCTAAGTTTACATCAAGAAAAATTGATGTTCCTCTAAAACAAACATTACATGTTACTCAACCTTCAATGGTTGATCTTGTTACTTGTAACACAAGTTATTATGATTGTCAAGAGACGAATATAGAAAAAACGGAAGAGGAGAAAAAGGCAATAGAGGATAGTAGTATTGGTAACAATAAAGGTGTAGAACTTAAAGAGGATGATAAAAAAAAGCTAATGGATCTTGGGATTTGTGAGATGGAAAGAAACAAAAGATTAGAGAGTCTTATTGCTAGAAGAAGGGCAAGAAAACAATTGAATTTGGAGATTGAAAATGGTTTAATTGATATTGAATCAATCACACCAAATCAAATTTCACCATTGCTTGTTGCAAGAATGGACCCTTTTGATTCTCTAATATATTTTGAAGGTATAGAAATGCCAGGTTCTGCTCCGTCTACTTTGAGAAGTCCATTTGATATTCCTTATGAACCTTTCGAGGAGAAACCAAATCTCAAAGGGGATATTTTGGATCATGAATTCACAACCAACACGCCGTTAGAACCTAAATATGACCTTCTACAACTTAAAGAGCATAGACTACCAAGTTCAAGAGTTAGAAGGCTTTCAGGTGATTGAAATTTTCGTTTTTTATATTTCTTCAGTTTAAGTAAATAAATTTTATAAATAAATTGAATGTATATTGTTTATGAAGGTTTGGCAAATCATGATGGTCTGGAAAAGTTAAACTCCTTAGAAGGATGTGAAAGTAAATTACAAGCTCCCAATCCGTCAAATGAAGGAGAGGAAACCACACACGATGACAAAGGAAAATGCAAACTCGATATTGTTGGCATGCAAAGTGAGGAAGAAAACAAAAATGATCCAACAATAACAAATATCGAAGAAGTTATAGATTTAACTTCTAATCCTCAAGACGAGTTTCTTGATTTTCCGTTATCTAGTACTAATGTTACTAATTTAAATGATTCTTTGTATGAATCTCTTGCAACTCCTGTCTTTAAGAGCAATGAAAACGTGTTATTTACAACTGGACTAATTCGTCATGCACATTCATGTTCCTTAGCTTCTGATTTACAAGTTGAGTTTTCTGAAATTGGTTCGCCAACACTCACAGTCGATGATAGTCATGAAGATATGTGGGGTGCAAATGAAAGTTGTGATCTTGATGTTTTAGAGCCAAACAATTGGAGGGAAGTTGGTTCTTCGTCCTTTTCCTTACGATATATTGATGAAGAAAATGGAGGTGAATTGAATTTTAGGTCTCTGAGATCTGACATGCGTGATGATACTCCAACTTATACAATGTGTAGGGATCATAACATCTTTGGTAATGCGAGACAAATGGGTGTATCACAATATTCTTCGAATGTGTTAGCGCGTTGGAAGCGGTTGATGAGGTTGATGGATACTCGTGTTAATCAGTCACCACATGAAATGCTTTCAGAAGAACAAGAGGTGAGTCATTTTGATGATACTATAGTTGTTATGAAATTTAGTTGTTATGAAATTGAGCTTCATAATAAGAACTTTTCAAAATTCATATTTGAAAATTACGGTTATGGTGTTATAAATTTCTTATAGGAATTTAACCAGATAGATAACTTACTAAACAAGCAACAAATCAGCAATGAAGTTAATGACTCAGAAGCCACTAATCAAGACAATACAAATGACTTAAGGAGCAATGAAGAGGCTGGTGCATCGGTTACGCGACAAGAAGCACCCGATGAAATCTCAACTATCACAAATTCATCATCGTCGTCATCATCACCAACGTCTGTATTTCCTATACCACATCCGACGACAGCAGATCAAGAGATACACACGGGTGTTCAACAATCTAATATGGAGGATGTGGCATACGAAACAGTAAATGGTGATGGTTTACTTGATTCAATGCCTCAAAATGTTCAACTTTCCGTGGACTATTCAAATGTCGAATCACATAATAGTGACTTGGATAATTCTCAGGTATGAGCCGTGGTAGATTTTTTTTTTATCTATTTTTTTCCTTCGCCATTTCACTTATAGAGAAAAAATTTCATGTGGAATTGAATAGGTGCAATTTATTTCTCCAATGGTAGAATCATCCTCAGAAATTCACATAGAGAATGAAGGAAAATCTCAGGAATCATTGACAGAAGAGGCTAGCATGAAACCGTTTATCAATTTTGAAACAATAGACACAAATTTTGGTAAAGATTTTGAAGAAAAACGTGATGGCTTAAATGAAAATGAAACCGAAAATCATAGCTCGAAAGAAGAGAACTATTTGCAAAGTGAGTCAAATCAAATAGTTAACAATCATGTAGAGAATGAACCATTGGACAAAGATGAAGACATCTGTGAAGATTCATCACTACCAATTTTCATTGACGGAGCCATTAACGATGATGATACATTAGGAGAAAATGAGAATACGAACAAGAACGAAACCACTGATCAAGAATTGGAAAGAGATAATCAAATCATGGTTTTATCTCAAACAAATAGAGAAACTGATTAGATTAGCAATATAGCACATACGAATGTTCCAAAAAAGAGTATTTTCGCTTAAGGATGTAACACAAACTATATCTAGCACATACACTTCATATTAAAGCGTGACTGGTGTCTGACACCAATACATGTGGTTACATTTAACCACTCAATTCTATTTTCTTAAAGTATTATTGATGTCTACATATCAGTATCAATATCGTATTTAACATCAAGTGCTTCGACTTTAGTTAAATTCCATCCTCAAATTAGAGATTGAGAAAAGTCGGAATATACCAAATTAAAAAGACTAAACTCAAAGATAGATGCACTATTCAATTTTTAGTACATAGTTCCATAGATGTTCATAATTGTATTCTATTAGTCACATTGCACATATGTACTCTATAATATTCACAATGTAGAAAGTAAGAAATGTAGAAGTTATTATGTATCTCATGTAAACACATTTTACTTTAAATATATATTCTCTTCATGAAAGGTTTAAAATAGTCTTCTTTCTTGTTAGAAAATATTTTTAAGTTATTTAGATAGTAATTTTTTCATTCTTTCTCTTTTTAATTTAGAAACTTAATTTCCTAATTTTATTTAAAAAATAAAATAAATACATCTTTTTTTAAAACAGGGCCTGTTTGTTTTAGATTTTTTAAAAAATCGAATTTTTCTTTATATTTTCAAAAATGATTTTTATAAAAATATTTTTAAAAATATTATAAGTTTTTTGAATTCGATATATTTTTTTAAATTGAAAGGATAATTTTATCATAAAATAAACATAAAAATATAGTTGAAATTGAAATTCTTTAAAAAAAGTTGTATTTCGAAAATAATATTTTATAAAAAACTATTTAAAATAATTTCAAGATTAAGAGATTTTATAAAATTTTAATATTCAAAACAAATTTTAATAAAATAATAAAATATCTTAAATAATATTTTAAGAATAACTATTCAAACTTGATTTTCATTTAAAAATTTTATTAAAGTTTTTCTTATAAATTTTTTATAAACACTTTTTTTTTGAAGACTTTAATGAAAAATAAAACCAACAAACAATCACATAAAAATCTTACTTTCATTGATTTTAATTAAAATAAATCAATGCAAACAAAATTTTACTTTCATTGGTTTTTTAGTTTATTAGTTTATTTAAACATTACTTAAAATGTTTACTTATATATGTCTAAAATGATAGACTTTTATGTAGATTAAACAGACTAACCATGCCTTAAAAAGGGTGAGACTCATGCATAAAAATAAGTTTATAATAAATTACAGATCAAACTTAAACTTCAATTTTGTTGACAGGCCAAACTTAGACTTGTCAAAACCTAACTTGACTCGGCCTATTTCCACCCCTAATCACCAATAAGTTATATTCTTCATTTGTATCAAAGCTAAATTGTTCTCTCTATTCAATAAATCTTTTCTTTTTCTTGAAAGCATAGACAATATGTGCGGAAAGAAATCTTTCATTATATTTTGGTTTGTCTTATTCTTTCAACTAATTATTATATAATATTATTATATAAAAATTCATGTCATAATAATAAAAGATTAATTTCAGTGTGAGTTTTATAATTTTTTTTCATATTTACCTATAATTCTACATAATATTCATTTTATTAAATTAAAATATAAATGCCTTAATTATTTATTAAAATTTAAAATTTTCTCATGACTCTTCAACATAATTGTTTTATTCTTTTTTAAGTGTTGTACTCTTATTATTATACTATACTAGTCGATAACCCGTGCTGTCGCACGGGACCGGTCGAGAATTCATAAAACGTGAAACTAATGTTGTCATGTAACAGTAAATTCGTTTTTATGTAATTCAATAAAAGTTCATCTAATTCGGCCAAATTCAGTGTATCAAACTTATTTGACAACATTAAAAAATGTAAACTGAAATCATGATTGTGTAACAAAATAAGAAACTGTGATGACTCTTCGAAATAAGAAACTATCACGAGTCTTCAGATACAACGCAACCAGCTTGGAAACGATGTTTTCAACTTTTTGACCCGCACAATAAATTATGCAAAAATTAGACAGCATTTACGGAAATAATTTATATTAAAGAAAATATTTGTTATTATGTACTTACCGATCAACAAAGAGATTGAAAAACTTCTTTGTATACAACATTTGTAGTGATAGATGTTGATACATTCATACTATCATGTATTAAGATCTTCATACCACTTTTGCTTGTAACTCTTGAAATGGCTACATACAACTGGCCATGACTGAATACAGGAGTAGGCAAATACAATCCAACTGTATCAAGTGATTGGCCTTGAGACTTATTAATTGTCATTGCGTACGACACAATAATTGGGAACTGTCTCCTAATCAACTTAAATGGCCACGGTGACTCGGAAGGTGACATAGACATTCGAGGGATGTAAAAGATGTTACCAACATTCTTACCAGACATGATCTTTGCCTCAATAACGTGATTTGCCAACCTTGTAACAATTAGTCTAGTTCCGTTACACAAACCATCGTTTTGGTCCAAATTCCTCATAAGCATTATTGGTGTACCAACCTTTAATCTGAGTTTGTGATTTGGGACACCTGAAGTCCTAAGCTTGCTAAGAAATTCTGGAGTAAGACATTCAGAGGCTTCGGTGTAACTTGAATCAGTTCTATCAATCGAACGACCTCTTTTTCGAGGTCTCCATAAACGGTACCTTTTATCGTAAACGAACTTGGAAAGAAACGCAGTGTATGTTAAAGTCTTTGCATCTTCGTATTTTTTATTTGACTCCATCCAAGCTGTAAACATTGATTCCTTTACAGTTGGTTTTTCAAGAACATTGTCTATGAAATCATAGTCAGTGTAGTAAACCTGATTCTTGTAAATGGCCTGTCTGCTGCAGTATTTTGTAATAATATTTTCATTTGAAATATTTTTTAAATAATTGTCATTATAATATAAAAATAACTTAATTATTCTAATACATTTTTACTTAGATTATTTAATTTATTTAATTATAAAACTATTTTGACAAATATTATTTTATTTATTAGTAAAATCAATATGACTAATTACTTTTTTCAATAATTATTATTTGTCTAATATTAGACTTAATTTTTCTCGTGGATTTTAATTGTTATCTTTCCGCAAACAAACAAAATAATGCGTGTATAATTATTGTTATGAGCATATTAATGAATAAATAGGAATTATGCACCTGCACGAGGATATTTAAATAAGAATGACAATTTTCCTTCCTTTAGATCCACCTTTAGAGTTCCCATTACTAATTAATTGAAGCTAAAATAATAATAAAAAATCACTACATATAGTATTACTTATATGAATATAAATTAACTATCCAAGTTTTATATTCAATCTCCTCAGCCATATTGTCCTCTAAACCACATGTAAAGGAAATGATTGCCCTCTAGTGCAAATGGACCTTGCATAAATTAAGGAAAAAGAAATGGCTAAAGTTCACAATAGAAATTACTGGGAATGAAAATAAATATGAGGTGTCAAGCAAACCAACAAAACAAAAGGTTAAATTAGATTCCAAAAATTAAATTAGATTTCAAACAACAATTGATAGAAAAAAGGATTCTAACAGAAGGAAATATAACAGTTACAACATCTTGAAACTCTTTCATGGAAATGCAACTTTCTACTTGCACTTTCAATCATGGAAATAGGTCTCACATTAATCCATAAAAATCTTTAAATAAAACATATACAAACAATACGGACAATTAGAGGTGAATTTGACCATAAATCTAAGACCAAAAATCGAAAAACTTATGATAGGAAGAGCAAAAATCAGAATAACACTAAACTCTCATACATGTGTTATTCGGTAAAATTTGAACTCAATCAGAACATATGATGTTGGATATATGACTTTAATAAATTAAACCGTCTTGTGTCTTCATTCGTTGCTCTGATGTTCGCAACAATAGTTCCAATGCTTCAAAAAGGACAATTTTTTTACATTTACCAAGCCATCAGATGTTTCCAACTCTATTATAGATCACATAAACTTCAAAACTGAATTAGAGTCCACCTCACTTAATCCGATAATGCCAACAATGCAAATTACTCACATCGTAAAACAATTGTTACCTTTTTTCCTCCGTCCTTACAAACCTATTCGAAACTCAGAGTAAATCACATTAGATAACTCAAATTCAAATCATTATAAAAAATGATCTAAACAAAAAAAAGAACTCAGTTTTCAATAAATATAGTAAGATTTGTTCTTTGTTAGTTTGAAATAAAATTGACATTACCTCTCCCGTTAGATCTCACAGTAGATATTAGTATAATATCTTCCTCTCCTCCTTGAAAACCATCAACGAAACAAACACTAACAGAAAACTTTGAGTTAGAAGTCGAAGTGTAGTTCTTAACTTTCTCCAAATCAACTTGAACATTATATGGAGATATGATTCCAATTCTAACTTTCTTATTTTTCCTCATGAACTCTAAAGAAGAAAATGAAGTTACACATGATACGAATTTACAATTCATAAAAAACTAATTTTTCAAAAGCATGAGAAATAAAAACTAACATTTTTTAATACTTTTAATCATCTCAGAAATAATAACAACCTTAATCATGTTCTTCAAACTATGCTCACAACCATTTTTCTCTTTATCCTCAACTATGTTTATAAAAGAATAAGAAGCATACATTTCTCCTTCAAGGAAACACTTGTTATACGTAAATATCACCTTTATCCTTTAGGATTACCAGCATCTAAACACACTTCTTCCAAATTCACAATTGTATGCAGTTTACAAATATTATAATTTCTAAATTTCAAGATTTGCTTCCATACAATTTTCAGATTGAAGCATTTCATAAGACTTTTAAATCTGTTATCAAGAAAAACAATTTGAAAACCTAGATAATAATCCAATATCATTCTCTTACTATTTCCAAAGAGAACAATTTCACTTAAACCATATGTATCATAATCAAGTGAATCCATTACTAAATTATACAACCGAATATGGAT